AAAAAAAAAAAAAAAAAAAAAAAAAAAACAAAAAAAAAAAAAAAAAAAAAAAAAAAAAAAAAAAAAAAAAAAAAAAAAAAAAAAAAAAACAAACCCAAACCTGGCCTTGCTGCTAAGTCATAATAATATTATCCGGAGACACATCCCGTGACAATATTTGTATTCCCATCTATACTTGCTGCTGCTTTGGAAAGTATTGCCACAGGTCCTGAATCTGTGCCCTTCACCACTTAAACATGTGAAAACAATTGCTGCAATGGCAACAGTGACATTTTCAAAACAATTATAAAAGAGTAAGGGTAAATGCCATTACAGCTTCTTCATAAAGCACTTTTGGTTTGGATTATTTTTTTTCTTCTCAAAATAAGCATCCCTAGGAGATAGAGTTTATAGGTCCTTGATTTCCAACAGCTGATTCCTCCAGCTGGAAGTGGATCTTCTGTTGGCCCAGAGCTGCGACCACCCTGGCAGGGCTGAACAGTGATGGGTCCCAGGCATAAATGTACCCAGCATTGTCCAATGAGGATGCCCTTTCCCTAAGATTTCTGGGGAGCAGAGCAGCGGGGGGAACAGTTTTTGGAGAGCAGGAGGAGTGAGTGCTTCAGAAAACACCACTGTCAAGCTCGCTTCTTCCAAATGGAAGTTACAAGAAGAAGAGCTGAAATGATCTTCTGATGCCCACCTCTTGTATGTGGCTTCAGTAGCTAGAGGAGACACACTGAAGTGAAGGACATGGAAACAATATTTGCCCCGTCCTGAAAGAGTTCAGAGCAACACTTCCCACCTTGCAGAAGAGTGTTCCCATGCTACAAACACACCCAACACACCCAGACCTGGAGTGCTTGTAGACTACCAAGGAAAACTAGTCCTTGGTTATTTTCATAGTGTTCTGACTCAGTGAGTTATCAGTGACTAATTATCTGTTAGACAGGAGAGAATATTATTTCTACATGTTCTGCAGAACTGACTCTTAGCTTAAAAATTAGATCACACCATACCAACAGCAAGGATGGTACCTCTGGTAGCAGCTTTTCAGAACATGACTCTGCCAGTGAAGAGGTCTCTGTCTTACTGGGTTAGAAACAGTCCATTAGCACAGCTTTCACATTGGTAAGTTAAATATGAAAGCAGAGAATGTAACTGGTTTTCCAATGTACTTCACATTTCTCCTTGTCTGGACTACACAAACTCTTGAAACTGTGACTGCCATGACTGCTTTTGTGGGCTGCTTTCAGGTCTAGTCTGATGAATCTTTATGTCCCAGAAGCTCTTTGCAAAGAATGGGTTTTTCCCCTCCTCTTTGTGGACCCCACCTAAGCTTACGCAAAAATTGAATCTTCCATCAGTTGTTACAAATTACAACACTGACAAGTCTGAGAAAGAGAAATCCCTCCATGAAGACACACAATAAGGACAACAGCAGCAGATGACACCTATAGGGCCTCTGCATAAACCCCAAGAGGAAGGAGTGTCTCTAATGACCAATTCTATCCTAATTTGGCCTCCCTATGATCCAGTCCCTCGTCTCCTCATCTGTGTGCCTGCTGGTACCTGCTGTGCTTTAGTTCATGAAGTGGGGATTTGTTCCCCAGTAGCAGCATTCACAGGGATGCTGAAAAGCTCACTACAACTTCTATAACCCACATTAATGTCTACCCATCTGCTCAGGATTTACAGAATCCTAGAATCACAGAATAGCCTGGGTGGGAAGGGACCTTCAAGATGATCGCATCCCTGCCATGGGCAGGGACACCTTCCACTAGACCAGGTTGCTCAGAGCCCCATCCAACCTGGTCTTGAACACTTCCAGGGATGGGGCAGCCACAGCTTCTCTGGGCAGCCTGTGCCAGAGCCTCACCACCCTCACAGGGAAGAATTTCTTCCTAATATCTAATTTAAACCTCCTCTCTGTCAGTTTGAAGTCCTGTCCCCTTGTCCTGTCACTCCATGCTCTTGTAAATAGTCTCTCTCCATCTCTCTTGTAGATTCCCTTCAGGTCCTGGAAGGCTGCAATCAGGTCACAATGAGGTCACCCCTCAGTCTTCTCTTCTCCAGGGTGAACAAACCCAATTCTCTCAGCCTCTCCTCACAGCAGAGGTGCTCTATTCCTCTAATCAGCTTGATGGCCGTCCCCTGAACACTGTGAAGGCCAAAGGAATTACTCATGGGGATTATTCAACCCAATGCAGCTTCCAGCATGGCCATCCCATTCAATCAGAACATTTCATTTCCAGTTTATTCCTCCTTGTAAGTCTAAAGAGACCCAAGATAAGACACCCACGCTATGCTACACGAGGGCACAGGCAACAGGCCTGGCAGCCTGCAGGGCTGAGTATCACTGAGAAGCCCAAATTCTCTTTCCTCCAAACAGAAGCAGAGCCTGAAAATTCAAGAGCTGTCACAATTGGAAATCCTGCCCCCCAAGCATATTTTAGCTTCTCAGTAACACAACGATGGCCTTTTCAAGCCTTAACACACAAAGAAGAGAAGCAAAAATTGTAGCTGTATAAGTTGAAAAATATCCTACGAAACAGCAAACTCACAAAAAAAGGGTATTTTTCATGTATTTCTGGGGCATTGCTATTATACCAGTGTCAATGAGCCCAGGCAAAAATATTTTACACAACCAGCTTTGCCAGCAGCTGGTCACCAAGACACTGCAACAAGGCTACTTTAATGAATCAAACCACTGGATCTCTCTTCACACACCAAAGCTGTAGGCAAGTCAGCATTACCAGATTCAGCTAAACCAATTATTTTTGGGGGGTAAAATTTCAATATTTGGGGTTTCCCACTTAATGACCTGGGATCAATGCTTTAACTTCCTCTATAACACAAAAATGTACATTTGAAAGGGATGTAACTTTGCACAGGATCAGATTACACGCCCTAAACACAGACTGTGGCTGATCCAGTACATGCTGCCCCATGAATCAGAGCTTTGAGAAACATCTTACAGAAATCAACATTTCTTGGGGGACTGTTTGTCCTACAATAGACCTTGAAAGGTTACAGAATACTAAAGCAACAATCTGGGTCTTTGCAAAATCACTAAGATTAAATTACCTTAAAAAAGCCATAAAAAAGATAACTAATTGTCCATGCAGGGGCAGAGTATCAGAGATCATCACCAAAATGTCAATATCTGACACTAACCAAGGAGTGGTTTTAGCATCCCATTCTGAAAAAAAAAACACAAACCCGTCCTACTGCTGTGCCAGTGGGGTCTCAGCAGCTTTCCACTTTCCCTGTCACTGCTTGTAGAACAGACTAGAAAAAAAAAATTAAAAAAAGGCAAAAAGGAGGAAGTCTGCTGATATTTTCATATCCGGTTACTGGACAAAATTTAAAGATGCTTGGATTAAAGGCAGCCTAAAACGACCCCAGAGTAAGCATTCAAGAGATTTCTATCAACTCCAAAAAGGAGCATTGTAAGGGCACAGTTCTACATTTAAGGAAGGAGGAGACAGATGAGTATTTCTAGAGTCCTCTGGAGGCTTATTTGTGGTTAAGTCTCTGCTGCAATGATCACCAACACATACAACATACATGAGACAGCAGAAGCAACAAGCTGAAGCGCTGATTTCACTCCTAAATTAAAATTCTCGGAGTGGGAGACTTCTGACGCCTCTCCCAGCAGCTCATGCAGCTCTATGAAAAGAACAGGATCTGCACCCCTCCCCCCCCTTTTTTTTAAATTTCTAAAACATTATCCCTACAGACAAAACGCAAATACAGAAACGTGGGGGAAGATTTGCTTTCTTACCACCACCACCACCACCGGGGACCACTTCTGGCACCTGGCAACACTCAGAGCAACAGGAGAATCCCCATCTCCTCCCTCCAGGCAAGTGCCACTGCTTATGTTTCAAGAGATTTGCTTTCTCATCTGCCTATAAGCAAAAAAGACATTCCCCGATGAATGAAGGTGAAAATATTTTGTTTAGAAGCAAGAACACAATGCGAACAACACCCAGCTGCAAACCTAGGTAATGAATTCTTTAACTCAAACATTTCTTACTAAAATTACATGTCTTTCTCTGCATTAAAAAAACAACAAACCCTACTTGATCCTTCTTCCCATGTATAATACCACACTCAGCTCCACAGGTACCAACTACCATTGCTTTCAGAGGGTCTAACTGGCTCATATCTTCGAAATTAAAAGCAAGTGTTCTCAATTTACATTAAGTGGTGAAATTGCAGCTTCTATTCAGAACAGAGCAAGGGCTTGCATACACAAGAACTAGCCTACTTTCCCCCAGCTTTACTAATCAGCATAACAAAAAGGTATTTCTTTTACCTACAAACCCTGTCTTGAGAGAAGTTACTGAAATTGAAGCAGAAGCAATTATCTGCCCTCCAAACACACACTTAATCCCTATATTTTATTAAGAGTGTTTTTTAAGATCCTGAAGCAATTAAGCTAATCATTATTTAATTTTAGATTGCTGAACTGGAGATTTACTTCAGACACAAGCTCACTTTCCACATAATTTAGTCTCAGTAATTAGAGATGTACTTTACCCAGAGGTGGCTTGTTTAAAGCGTGTTATCTAATTTCACAAGCCTTACACCATGAAAGTTTCATGCAGAAATCTTCAAACTTAGAGAGGAAACCCCCCAAAGAAACTCAGATTTACCAGACTGCAAACATGTTTTCCTTTAAAAAATAAAATTAAAAAAAAAAAAAAAGAAGAAAAAAATCTGCCCAACAAGTTCACGTATCACAAAACCTAACAAAAAAGCATTTCTACAACCTACCACTCCTTTAGCAAGTCATTACTCCTCTCACACAAACTGCTTCATTTATAACTTATTTTAACCAGGATGTAAAGTCTACAGGAAAATACAAATGCCTTACTAGGATGCCCAGCAGGCACCTGCCACGGGATATAAGCAGCGCTGAATCATCCAGACATTTACAGATTTCTGTGATAGTGTTATCAGAGGAACAGAAATAAGGACCAGACCTGTAGGCTCATACTGTACATACTGACCCTGGGTATCAAGCCATTGGAAAACTGACCAACTCCAACCTATTTCAGACAAATTTGTGTAAAAACATCGTTGAAAACAAACTCTGCTAGGAAATATCAGTTAGCCCTGGTTGCTCCTGCCCACCTGGCTCAGCTTTAGGTCTGTAGCCATTTAATGGCACAACTGTCTACCAGTCCACCTTGGCTGGCACGTTGTCCAAGGCCACTTTAACGTCAAAACACATTTGCTGGTTTTTGGAACAAAGGGTCTCATCTTCCACCACTGCCATTAAAGACAGGAAAACAGATGATGGGGGAAGCATTTCAAAAACACGCACTACTTCTTGCAACTTTTTGTCTTCAAAACTGTCCAGCAAAGCCAACACACGCAAGTGCTCAACACTCAATTAAAAGGCAACTGCATTTAGAACTCCATAAATGCAGAATAATCAGATTCATTTCAAGACTTTAGTGCCAGTACTTTTTTGAACCACTTGGACTTGCCACACATAAGAAAGGCTACAGAACTCATCAAGAGCACATAAGATTTCAGCAAAGACTGACAAAGCAGCATCGGGATTTGAAGCTACAAAGAGATCAGGACACAACAGGTTTGATGCAGGGACTTTACTCAAAATAAATGTAAGTAAGCCTCAGCTACCTGGATATTCAAAAAACATTATTTAATACTTTCTCATGTGGTATAACATTAAACACCTGAACTTGGAGACCAGCAGAGGAACTGGGACAGCAAAGATCCTGCCCAAATGAGATGGTGACAGACAGCATGGGAAGAAAAAAGCTGCAGACACCTTGGAGGTTACTAATGAAAACACAAAACCCCAACAATCGGTCTTTTGGTTCATTTTTAACTGATTAATGGCTGGCATACAAAACCCCTAATTATGTCAGATGATGATAAAGCTGGGAAGCAATTTGAACATGAAGGTGCACTGAGTTATTAATACAACATGCACCATGGCCACAAAGTCTGGAGCCACAGGATTAGGATGAAAGTCACTAATGTACAATGCACAATCACATATATAAAACAAACTAGCTCCAGCCAGACACTGGAGGGTGATTAGTATCTGGAGAAGAAGGGCCTGGATGCACCAGCCCACTTCAGCACAAAACGTCTGTGAGTCACCACTGCGATGCAGCTGCAAAAAACACTCGTGCAGCCCTGGGATGTATCCAGAGAAACGTGTCCAGCGGAGAGAGGAAGCACGGAAAAGTACACAGAGGCACTGCTAAAATCCCATCTGGAATACTGCATAAGAGAGAGGCTGCCCAATTCAAAAAGGAGGCATTAGAAACACAGGAGGCTGAAGGAGGATTTCCAGCACTGACATCACACACAGTGGAGAGAGGGATGGAGGGGCATTTACAGGGAATGCAATTGCTCCTTGTAAGACAGCAAAGATAATCATGAGAAAGGGAAATAAACCCTTTCAGACAAAAAAAAAGGCTCCTGATACCAGAGCAAACAGGTATCAACTGTCCAGGAGTGAGTTTAGGCTTGAACCTTTCAGAACAGCAAAGCTCTGGCAGAAGTTTTTGATTACAATAAACCTACAAGCTTAAGGAAGCCCCTGTTATGACACATTACCTGCTTTCTTCAGCTACAACCATTTTCTGTAGCTGTCTCATCTAAACATTCTTGGAAGGGTCTATAAAACTGTCACCAAGAGCAGCTGGTTCAGTTCTCAGCGCTGAGAACTTGGGGGGAAGGTCATGCTGTGAGTTATGGGGCTAGGGGGGGATTTATAGGGTGAATTATAAACAGTTACCGTAATATTCCTGCATGTCTAAAAGGTAAAAAAATATTGCTTAATTTAAAATAACGTTAGCCACTTTGTTTATATTAAAATCCTCACATGCAAGTATGGTAATAAAAGTGGGCACTAGGAAAGCTCAACCAGTCATGAACAGTATCTCATCCTACTTCCCAATATCCCATGAGGAGGATATCTCTAAAACTAATGCAACATAAGCCAAGTTGCTCCTTGGAATAACCACATTCCCTGGTCTTGAAACAGTTCTTGAAGTCTGCCTTCACAGGCTACCAAAGGGATCTTTGCCTTTTCTCTGCCTTGTACAACGTCTCTCGCGCAGACACTTTACTAAAACTGGTAAAATGAGGTCATAGTTACCAGAATGAAAGAGTGCAACTGGCAAGAGATTAATTTCTGGTTTGATACTGAAGCACAAGCAGCGTTATGCAAGAGAACAGGATCGGAGAGAAAGTTTTAGTCTGGTGCTGTTTATTGTCCTGCTGCCTGCACAAGAGGTACTTGAGCCCTAAAGAATGAGAGAGAAGCTCTTCCAATTTAGCATCTCATAGTGTATATATATATTATATATACTGTATATATAGAGTGAGCATATATATGTGTGCGTGTGTGTATATATATATATCTATATTTATATATATATATCTCCATGAATTGGGCACTGCAAGTTGTATCAAATTGCTTTTCTAATGTCTTCTAAGATGGAACAGATTTAGGCAGTACAGGGAGGATAGAGTCACATTGAAGTACACACATATTTTTTCCATTTCAAAAATGTCCCCCAATTAAATATAAATGTGTGTGCACTCAAACACATTTTCTCTCTTGCATAGTACTTTGCACTGAATTCAACATAACCTCCATGTTTCCATTAGCTACTCTGATACCACAGCTTTGAAAATATTCTCAGTGCTCCAACATTTAAGACATACAAGACTCCAAAGTGCACACATACAACTCTGTCTTCAGCACCATCTTGAAAGGAGAACATTTAATATCTTTTTATCTTCCCCACCCCTTCTTTCCTTTCTCTTTTTCTTAAATAATTTATTAAAATTAGTGAAAGCATTTTCTGGTCAGCTTTATTCCTCCCCATAGGAATTATCAGCATCTTTGAATCTTCTGAGTCTTTACTTGACCCACAGCTTGTTTTACTCTCTAAAGACCACCTTCCATATAATACCCTGATGTTGATGGAGGAATGTCAGGAAAATAAGAAAAGAGGAAAAAATAAAAAGCTTGATAATGTATTTTTAATCACAAATTACCTTCGGATAGTAAAACTGGTTTCGTGGCATGCTTCTCTCAATGTCTTACGGAATCATCCACCATTAACAGAATGGCTTCAAGAAATTTCTTCCTGCCACCATCCCACCACTGTGAACACCACAACTTAAGAAAGAGGGCCTCTACAAACTAATTGCTTCCCTAACAATAATTAGAAATTATTGACTTGCAAGTGCTTTCAGAAAAGGAAGACTTCACTCATAGTAGGAAAAACAGAGAGGATATCAATAAGTTATGACGGGTATACAATGAACAATCAGAAATGTTTTTGCCCCCCTCATAATCCACAACTGAACTGTGAACCTTCTTGTCATGGCTGTGAGTAGACTGAAAAGAAAACTGAAATTGTTAATGACATGGAAATGACAGAGCAAATACCAGTCATTGTGTTGACTGTAAATCCTTTTGTAAGACATCCACTATAAACCAGACTACTGACCTAGATGGACAAATGACAGACAAACCCTCTCCCTTTTCCAAGACAGAAATTACACCTCTGCAGCAAACAAAGCATTTAATTTTCCACAGCAATTTGCAACCAAATCCCTCAGTTGTAAGACAGGGAACAGATAAGTAAGAATGAAGGGGGTGAATGTATCTATGGCCTTATGACACCAGCGTTTTCTTTCCACTCATCACGAGTGAGCTGGAGCACCAGCAGCCCACCAGTTACACCTGTCCATAACCTTCTGTGGAGCCAGGGTTCTGATGGATAAACATCCTTGACCAGCTTCAGCTGTGGC